CACTCGGTCATGTTAGTAGTCGTCCCGACAACACTACTTACAAGGCTGAACGGGCAGGGGGTTCTGGGGATTTTTATAAATAAAAAAAATTCATATATAACTTAAAAACTAATGGGGGTACAACATGTTTTTGACAAATGGGTGTTAACGTAATCATTAAAAACTATAAGAAAAAATCATTATACTATGGAGGGAAATTTGACATCGATCTTATTCATGCACTTACTTTTCTGAAAAGAAAAATTATATACAAAAAAGTTTAAAGAAAGGCAGATTCGGGCCCTAAATCTAGATGTTAATTCTAGAATACGGGGGGAACGGAACACAAAAAAATTTTAAAAAACTGACCAAAAAATAAAACACACAGTTGACAAATTCACACTGGACATTAATTATACAACTTTGTACATTTAAACCCAATTCTGCGGGGTAGGTTTACATAGCAGAAGGTTATCATTCTGGGAGGATCGAATTCCTCTGCAATGGCAAAACACCCTGACTGAGAGGATCTGAAGGAATATCACAAAAGATATTTGGGGTTTTCTCATTACTTGTCGAGTACGCAAGGAGTAACGACATTCAGGTTGAGATCTACTGAGTATCTGGGGTAGAGATACAGACGGAAATTTGTCAAGTCTTTTCCCTTAGTCTGGGTAGAATACCTAAAACATCGTAAAAATTTAAATTTGATCTAAAGCGATTTTTGTTTTTCCCAGTAAAATTTTCTCTAACCTTATACTTTTTTCCCCGAGATATGTTCTAAATCGAAAAGGCCCGACAAACTTTTGACAAGCTTTGGCATTGCGACTTTTTTTAAAAAAATCAGTAATCTCGAACCTACTTGTTTTTTAACGGTTTTGCTCGGTGTTTGGACTCTTGTAAATTTCGGTTTTTTTAAAGAAGTGTTTCACGGATTTTCAAAAAAACACTTTGAGAAAAGGGTACGATTTGCTACGAAATCTCAGGGTTGTAATTTTGGTTTTCGGAGTAGAAAAAAACAACCATGGGTAAACGCTTGTCTACCCATACAAGCATAAGTGGAGTATCCCCTATGGAAGCTTTGTAAGCAGAATTTATGGCCATGGACACGGGTTAATTTCACCAAAGTTTCACTTTGGGGTTGATGTGGCTTTCAAAACTAAAAAGTACTTTTTTTTTGTTTTTTGGGTTTACCCTTTGCTGGCAGGTGATGAGGAAAATGGTGGATTTAGAGATTTTGTAAAAAGTAAAAAAATTTTCAAAATTCATTACAGAATTCCCTCCATTATCTGTTAAAAGGGACTTTGGGGTGGTTGCCTGCAGAAATGCTTCTTTAAAGCTTTAGTACTTTTCCTGCAGTCTTTCTGCAATGGAACTAACCACAATTTTGGGTGAAATGGTCTACCAAAAACACAAGATTTTGTTCCCTTGGAGGGAACTTTTAAAATTAGTTAACAAATAAGGGAAAAACTCTTTCCCAGGGTTGTAGTGGTTGGGACCTTGGTTTGGGGGTTAGGACCCTTGACATTTCCTTATGCGCATACAGACATACTTTCTTAACATCTCGGAAATGTCATGCCCCTAGTGGCCAAAAGATTTCATTCTGGTTGTTTCACAGAAAAGATCCATACCCGGGGGTGCAACATGGGCATCATGAAAATAGCTTAGGCTAGCTCACTATGACTGGGAATTACTAATGGTAAACCTTCTGTTGGAGTACCCAAATCGCTGTTGATCAGTAATTTCCCGATCTTACAAAACACTAATGATCTGGGGGCTTTTTCATAAGAATGGGACTTCCCGGAGAAGGGAAACGAACACACCAGACCACATGGGATCTGCTTTGTGCGTTTTTACATCCCCGACAGTAAATGGGGATCTGCAGTAATACATAATGTCGCGTAAAGCTCTGGACTAATTTGATTGCCCGGTAATTTTTTCAAAAGTGGGATTGAACTCTTGGATAGTCAAGGACCATCTGGGTAACCTTCCGGGTTTTGTTCTGGAATAAAGGTATCAGTCTTCCCCATGGAGGGAAAAAACAAACTCGGTGGAGTGGATGACTCCCCCCCTTGAAAAAATTAACGCATAAAAAGCAATATGAGAAGGGGAACGAATTATATCTCAACTGCAAGCACAGGAGAAAAGAAATGAACACGGGGGAACAATGCTGATATTCAATCTGAGTCGCACACGTACCGAGGTATCAGCTATAAAAAAAATAACTTAAAACGTTAAAATGTGAAAGTTATTCGGAGAAATAAATTTTACAAAACACTGATTACTGTCAACTAGGATGGGGCACCATCGAAACAAAAGGAACAACAAAAACCTTTAGTGAGAAAAACTTTCTGTAACAGAGACGTCTTTTTGCAGACGCATGTCACATCAAAAGAGATGGCATTACTAGTTGAAGTAATCTTTTTCTGCAGGCATCCCCCGTGGGGAAACTACTACTCGAAAATAGCAGTCATTGCAGGGGTAGGCTGTGCATCAAGCAGTTGGTGTCCCCGGGCACTTGAGGCAACGGAAAAAATATCTGCAGTCTGAAAAGGGATTGGGGGAAAACAGATGGGAAGACAAAAATTACTAGTGCCCGACCGCTCGGCCGTTTTTAAGTAATTTACGGATCTTAGGAACTTAATCTGAACTTCAATTTCGCGCACTTTAACAAATCTCAGATAAACTGGAGAACAAAAAATTGCCAAGGCTGGTATTGTCTTTCAGTCAGTAAAGGAATGTTGGGACTGTGACTGATTCATATTTACTTTGACTGGAAAAGATACCTAAGTAACGTTCAAAAGAGATGGGACATTTCTCAGTGAAAATACTGAAAGGGGGAAAGTCAAGAAAAAAAGGGGAGAATGACAAATAGCTTAAATGGAAAAAAAAATTTAACTATTTGATAAATAATTAAAAATTACAAGTTACCAGTAAGCAAAGAACTCACACAAGAAAATATGCAACTTAACAAACACTAAAAACAAAAGAACTTGTACTTTGCCAAATCTAATATCCCAATTTTTTCTTTTAAAGAATAAAGGCACAGTGAGTTGTTTTACTTTCAAGCAAAAAGGAAATCACAAAAAATGATAAAATGGACTCAATAAACTTGTGCAAAAATTAAAACAAACACACAATTCACTGAAATAAAAATTAAAATGACAGACAGAATAAAATACTATGCACAGAACAGAGCATAAGAAACTGCACTGTAATAAACTGTATTGCACAACACTGCATAAAATTTTCTGCAAGAAAAAACTTTAATAGCAACACAATATTTGCACAAGAATTATTGCATCTACTTGCCCATGCGGGGCAGGTCCAGGTCGCCTACCGGCTTAAGTCACTGGCCCAACCTAGTCAGGTCAGGTCACATCCACTTAAGGAAGAAGCACGGCTTCAGACCTATTAGCACAAGCTAGTCAGATCCAACTCACACCCACCCACACCCACTCATAAGAACATAAGAAAGGAGGAACACTGCAGTAGGCCTGCAGTAGCTTGGATTTCTGAAGGATATATACGGTGTTTTTACCCCGAGAACAGTGTTTGTATCACGGGGTGCACACGGTGTTTGTATCACGGGGTGCACACGGTGTTTGTATCACGGGGTGCACACGGTGTTTGTATCACGGGGTTGCACACGGTGTTTGTATCACGGGGTGCACACGGTGTTTGTATCACGGGGTGCACACGGTGTTTGTATCACGGGGTGCACACGGTGTTTGTATCACGGGGTGCACACGGTATTTGTATCACGGGGTGCACACGGTGTTTGTATCACGGGGTGCACACGGTGTTTGTATCACGGGGTGCACACGGTGTTTGTATCACGGGGTGCACACGGTGTTTGTATCACGGGGTGCACACGGTGTTTGTATCACGGGGTGCACACGGTGTTTGTATCACGGGGTGCACACGGTGTTTGTATCACGGGGTGCACACGGTGTTTGTATCACGGGGTGCACACGGTATTTGTATCAGGGGGTGCACACGGTGTTTGTATCACGGGGTGCACACGGTGTTTGTATCACGGGGTGCACACGGTGTTTGTATCACGGGGTGCACACGGTGTTTGTATCACGGGGTGCACACGGTGTTTGTATCACGGGGTGCACACGGTGTTTGTACTCCGGGTACACACATGTGTTTGTATCTAGGGTACACGCAGATGTTTGTACCCTGGGTACACAGGTATTTCTACCCCAGAGTACACACAGGTATTTGTGCCCCAGGGTACGCAAGGTGTTTGCACCCCGATAACACACGGTGTTTGTTCCCTGGGAACACAAGGTATTTGTACCCAGGGAGCACATGGAGTTTGTACCCCGGGTACACACAGGTGCTCAAGAACAAGGCTTTCTTCACAATTCTACATCCGGAATGCTAACAGTCCAGGTAACCCAAGAAAGCCAGCAAGCCTGGCTTGTTACCGTTATCCTCCTCAACTCCTCTTGTCTAAGACACCCCTTACAACATTCAACATACTCTAAGGCATTTATTAACAGCTAGGGGTCAGTGTGCGTGCGGCCAGCAGTAACAACCTTGTTGATCAGACCCTGATACACCACGAGGCCGGGTCTCAGACCGGGTCGCGGGGACGTTGACCCCTGAAACCCTCTCCATGTATAGTTCATGTAGGGGGATATGGGGCAGAGGCAGGAAATGTTTTGGGACATGCCCCTACGTCTATCCCTACCCTGGATTCTAGTAACAGCAGTCGATTTACGGCAAGGGTGTTTCCTGACACCTGCTGTCCCTGTTCGCCTAGCAGATAAGTAGGTACCTGGTTGTTAGTCGACTGGAGTGGGTTTCGCATCTTGAGGGGCAAGACTGAATGACCACAGTGGAAATAAATAGAAGAGAGTCCGAGATGACGCACTGCATTTATTGGGTTATCCTAAGTGGCTTACCCTCCTGGGTTAAAAATCCGAACAAAATCTTATCTGACTATCCCTAGGTAACTATTTACTGGTAGGTGAACAGGATTAGCAAGGCTTGTTTATACGTCTCACCTCGCCTGGTAGTTTCACCTTAACGTCTTCTGTTTGCTGTCAGCCTCAGAGGTAATATGAGGTAAACACTGAAAGAGTTTTGTTTACTCCCGAGGTAGTGAGAGCACTTTGTTTCTATGAGGGGTGAGAGGAATATCCGGTGGTCTCCCTTGTTTTTGACACCGTTGTCATGGTGACCAGCCACGATGTGACATGGTTGCCATTGTGACCAGACAGCTGAGGGAAATGGTTACCATGGTAACCAAGCAGCCGAGGGAGATGACTGAAATGGTGAAAAGTAGGTGAGGGAGATGGTTGCCATGGTGACCTACCAGCTGAGAGCGATGGTTGCCATGGTAACCGACCAACTGAGTGAGATGGTTGCCATGGTAACCTACCAGCTGAGAAAGATGGTTACATAGTGATATACCAATTGAGAGAGATGGTTGCCATGGTGATTTACCAACTGAGAGAAATAGCTGCCATAGTAACTTCCAGATGAGGGAAATGGTTGTCATGGTGGACCCACCAGCTGAGAGAGATGGTTAAATAGTGACGTTCAGTGAGAAAGATGGTTAATAGTGACCTACCAGTGAGAGGAGATGGTTAAATTAGTGACCTACCAGCTAAGATGGTAAATTAGTGATACCGCTGAGAGAATGGTTAATAGTGCCCTACCAGCTGAGAAAGATGGTTAAATAGTGACCTACGCTGAGAGAGATGATTAAATATTGACCTACCAGCTGGAGAGATGTTAAATATTGACCTCCCAGCTGAGAAAGATGGTAAAATGTGACCTACCAGTGAGAAAGAGAGATGTAAAATCAAAAAGATACATTAGCCATTAAATAGCGAAGTCTTTGAGAAAATAGCGAGTCTTTCAGAAGAGGTGAGCTGAAATTAACGTGATTTAATAGGAAAAAATTTCACACTGTATTTCACATTCAACTCTACACCAACTTCCTGAATTTCACTCTCCATTGTCTTTCGTTTTTTCTGGGGGAAACTTTTGCGACCAAGTGAAGAAACCGTGAGGATTTTGGTAGTTACCTGAGCCGTTCCAGCATCCTGGAATGGCTCAGGTTCCCGGATGCTGGGAACGGCAAGTGAACGTGCGTTGTTCCTAGGTACTGATCCTCGTTACCTCACATAAATGCTGAAAATTCGAAAAACCCATTAGATGAGGCGTTATCGAGTTACTGTAGTGATAAAATCGAAAAGTTTGGGAATATAAAATTCAGTATCTCTTAAACTTACGTCTGCGGGGATACATAATAATAATAAAAAATAATAATAATAATAATAATAATATTATAATAATAATAATAATAATAATAATAATAATAATAATAATTATAATAATAATATATAATAAATAATAAATAAAAAAATAATAAAAGAGTGTTGGAGTGTGAGCAGGGTATCGACACCATGCCTAACCTTTCTAGGGTAGGGTAGGTGCCTGAGCCCGAGCTTACAGTCACAAGACTGCCATTTCCCCTTAGCCCCTGGGGGCGGGGATGGCAGACCAGAGAGGCCTAGTTGTGGCTAGGGCTGGGGCCAGTTGGTCCAAAGATGAGGAGGTACTTGTGCCTCCTCCCATGGGAGACTTCGGTCTCAGACACTCCCTAAAGAGGGAGCCAAGGCCGGGCCACCACTTGGACAAGGCCGGGCCGGGAGAATACCGGCTTTAAACTTTAATAATAATAAATATGTAAGCAGGGGTAATATTTTTAAAGGGATCCAGGGGAACCCGGGTTAGCCGGACTAGAGTCCTGGACACTACACACACATTAAAATGTACCAAAGTGGTTGGGCCACTTACCTTTATTATCCCACCTCTCCTCCTCCATCCATCTTTTTCTCGTATTTGTATCCATCCATCTTCCTTCCCATCTTACAAAGCTCTGGTCATATTAATTAAAGGAAATACACTGCCCACACTTTAAAGGACGGGTCTGGGATATTGGCAGTTTGGAGGGGGCGTCTAAACTGTCGTATCTTTAGACAGTGATTATGTATGAGTGGCGGTGAAAGTGTTGAACGATGACGAAACGTTTTTTTTCTTTCTTTTTGGGTTTTTCTTTCTTTTTGGGTCACTCTGTCTCGGTGGCAAACTCCGACGTGTTAAAAAAAAAATAATAAAACGAATCAATTGAGAAGAAAATATTGAAGGTTAAAAACAACTGCACTAAACAACACACAAAACAGTAAAGTGCATATCGAATGTAAGTGAAAAATTGTTAGAGTTACCTCACATCTTACAAAGGGTTCATAAGCAAATATTTAAATACCAGCAATCCTGAGAGACAGGAAAAACACTTAACAAGTTTCTGTTTTGCCTAGGTGCTGCCATCCACGACATCAAAACACTTCATGGCCATCTTTGCGATCAAAACACATTTTATGGTCATCTATGTCATCAAGACACACGATGAAATTAAGACACATGTGCAACATCTGGGTATCTTTATTGTAGACGTTTCGCCATCCAGTGGCTTTATCAATACAAATTTATTAAAAACCCCTGGATGGCGAAACGTCTACAATAAAGTACCCAGATGTTGCAAAATGTGTCTTAATTTCATCATTTTAGACTGCATTCGTAGTAATGCCACTGTTGCACTTGTGGATTTATTCTTACCCACTCTGGTGCAGTACTTCTGTTCTCCTCGGAAGAGGAGTTACTCAATTACTAAAGAGAGACGTTCTGGACAATCTTACCAATGTGGGCATTACCCTATCCTCCCTGACAATTTCCAGGCCAGCTTCTGTGTTTATTGCACGCATCAACAGCCCCATGCGCGAGTATACGGCTGTTGAACTCGCCGAAGGGATCAACCAAGATAACTCTGCATTAAAGGGGTCCTCAAAGCATATAGGTTTGACAAGAACTCTGCCAACTAACATTTTCTGAAACTCATCCTCGAGACCCCTGAGGAAGCCAAGCTCGTCTGTGACCAGGTTGAAGTGCTTTGGAACAAAATACACACCTGACCAAGTTAGTATGGAGGGGTTTTGTCACATCACAAATGCTTTAAGTGCTATCACTTAGGCCATACCACGAACAAGTGCACCGCGAGAAAACCGCTGCAGCATCTGCGTGATCACGTTTACAAGGAATAAAAACCATACCACGGGCGGGGATAGAACCCGCGTTCAGAGGTCTCAAAACTCCGGGACCGTCCGGTTTCTATTCCAGCCCGTGGTTTTGGTTTGTTTGCAATCGTGTCATTACGATTTCGTGAGTCAAGTTACAAGGAATGCCCAACAGAAAACATTCCCAAGTGCCACCCTTGTGGTGAGAAACACCTGCTGTTTCACCAGCTGCCCCCTCAGGAAGTTTGAAATCCAGAAAATCCTCGTAAACAAAAAGCTGGCCAGTGCCAAAAAAATTCGCCCAACAGTCCCTCCCAATGTCTCCCACGAATTTTCTCCAACCTACCCAGCTCTGGCAGTGCTCCCCTTGCCACCGCTTTTCAAACAAAGTTTGGACCCCCCTACTCAGCTCCCCCACCATATTCCGGCCACCCCCAAACCCAAGGTCCACCCTCCTACCGTTTTCCCTTTCTGGGTCATCCAAGAAGAATTTAAAGAAGAGCTGCTTTCTTCATGCTGGCCAAAGACTTGGCAAAGGGCGATGACCACCTCTGCTGCACCCTCCCCAATGAGATGTTTATAGCAAATCGTGCCTCAGCCATGTATCCCTGGCTTAATGCACTCATACTTGAGTCCCCCTCCTCAAACACCCGCACCCACCCAACCAACCCCCAGCACGGAAGTTGCAACCCCTTTTTCCTGCACCACAATTGTTGCATGTTTCTCGAGAACTCCAGGGGGCCCTACAGTGGGGTGGCCATCCTTGTGAAGCAGGTACATGAATTCTGCAACATCATGTCGACGAGGACAACACCATAGCAATAGAACTGTCGGCATCATATGGGCGGCTTATAGTGGGGAAGGTTATTTTCCTCCCCGAGAACCCTACACCGGGGTACTCAGTAGAAATGTCCCTTATGTCTTGCAAAGGGGACTTCAACGCCATCACCCCGCTTCTTCAATTGTAGCGCCGCCCAACCCACGGAAACAACTATTTACATAAGGGCGGCAAAAAGCTTAAACGTTCCAAGGCCCATTCTTTAAATCATTCGTGGGCCCCCCACCCAGGGACTCCGAAAGTTTATTTACCAACAGGGACTGTGACCTGTTCCACTGTTAAAGTTCCCCCGGCGGTGACGTCGGTTCAGACCCCATTCCGTCATAAAATTTAAACTCCAATCCACACCGTTCCAGACACCCCCCCACCCAGACCCCAACCTGAAAAACACTAGGCTTTGACCTCTACAGGGCCTTTCTAGGAAATGACCAAATATTTCACTTTAGAACCAACCCTCCACTGCAATAGATGAGGCAAGTAAACTCTCTCCACGACAGAATGAATGAGGCCACAAAGCATACTGCGACCTAACAACTTCCAAGATGTACCAAAAAGTACAAACCAACCAGGGAAATTAAGGACAACAGAATAACTACCCAAACTGAGTGAAGTAGGCACT